ACATTCTTAAAGTCGCTATAATGTAGTTACACAGTTTAGTCTGTGCAGATTCTCGGTGCCCTGTTGGGGTGCAAATGTGGGTTAACTAGTCCAGATGTAGTTCTTCCCCCCTGTCTCTTTGTTCTTCCTTGTACCACTGTGGTGACACAGTTCTCATGCCAGGAACCCACGAGGATGATTTTCTCTGAGCAAACACACATCCCACACTGAGTCATGATTCAATCAGCAGGTTGCACCTTTAGAATGAATCCTGCCACTTCCTCTTCACAAGCCTAATCATGTCATTGGCCCGACATCTTCAAACTTCCCTAGTTCTGAGAAACAATGATCCTCCATATATAGAAAAGTCTATATGTTGTATCCTGATAAAGAATTACTAAGGTGTGTGTTTTTTACATGAAGAGCTCCCGTCCAGTAAAATGACATTTCCCCCATGAGTCCTGTGCATTTTACAAAGATCGTTCAAAAATGGCATTGTAACTGTAACACAGAGTAGTATTTTAACATCCATGAAACATGATGATTTTTATCAGCAGTTTTCAGATTAAATATATTCATTTTGATTTGAAATCGATTTTTGAAACAAAACGTAGTCTTAAAGACTTTGTTTAGTATTTTTTTAAAGCTTTGATTAGACATGTCTGCTTTATAGTCTGCACATGTGGCAACAGTAATTAAAATGCGTTCCGTAATATTTCACAATCCAAAGATGCTTTACAGCTATTTCTGTAACATTGCAACATCTGCATTCTATAGCGATATTGTGAAGTATCAGAATATTGTAGTATATTTATACTGCATCAAAATAGGGTTTGAGCATCACAGATTTCAGTATAGTTAATTGGACAAAAATTTTAAACAAACCTACATTTATTTAAGTGACCCTCAAGTACAGCCAAAAATGTTGATTTAAAGCACCCTATAAATGCTGGTGAGGGGCTTCATAAATCTCTGTCTTAGAATTAAATAAACAGCCCACATGTCATTAGGAGGAAGCAGAAAAAGTGGGTAGTTCACAATTAAACAGAACTTTTATCAAGGAGGATTTTTAAAATGGTATTTCACCTTACTCAGATCAATGGGATATATCCAGCCGTAATAGCTCTGAAACTGTAGGTGAATCAGTTGGAGAGTGTTAACTGGGACTGCTGCCTCCTCGTTCCGTGCAGTCGGGAAAAATCAATAGGATCTCTACCATTTGGATTGTCTCAGGTCATATTTTTTTTCCACCATGAAGTGCCAAGCGCAGGCACCATTGAGGGTTTATTGATTTCTGCATGTACTGTAAATATACACACATTTAATCAGCAGGAGAAGCTCACAGTTTCTAAAGACAAACATGTACTACTTTGCCGGTGTGCTGTTTGTATGTGTTACCTAGCTCAAGAGAGAGAGAGAAGGGGAGAAAGCCTGCCAGTGTTCATAGCAGCAGCTTTTTCTTTTCTGGAAGTCTTTGCAGAGAAACATAATAATTCTTACAGAGATACCAGGGAGTGGTGGTGGATATAATAATAATTCTGTCTTAATAGCGAACTTGGGTGGGTGAATGCCAGCTGGAATGGACCCAAACTGAGGTCAATAAGAGACTAAAGGGAGGTTGTATGACCAGGTGAACCCGGAGGTATGCAGAAGTAAAGATGTTTCTGGTGTTGATTTTTACAAAACAGAAAAGGGTATATATATCAACAGACACTCCCACAAGTGGTCCCTATTTTCCAGGGACAGTCCCAGATTTACAGAAGCTGTCCCAGGTTCTGATTTGACACCGGAATGTCCCGCTTCTTCTTAGGACATCCCTATTTTCATTGGATAAATGTTGGAGGGTATGGAGTTATCCGACTCCCCAAGCCATCTGAAGGCAGCCCTGTATAGGGAAGCTTTTTAATGTTTAATGCAGGCGGCACTATGGGTTAAACCACAGAGCCTAGGACTTGCCGATCAGAAGGTCGGTGGTTCGAATCCCCGCAACAGGGTGAGCTCCCTTTTCTCAGTCCCTGCTCCTGCCCACCTAGCAGTTCGAAAGCACATCAAAGTGCAAGTAGGTAAATAGGTACTGCTCCAGCAGGAAGGTAAACAGCGTTTCCGTGCGCTGCTCTGGTTCGCCAGAAGCGGCTTAGTCATGCTGGCCACATGACCCAGAAGCTGTACGCCAGCTCCCTTGGCCAATAAAGCGGGATGAGAGTCGGTCACGACTGGACCTAATGGTCAGGGATCCCTTTACCTTTACCTATGTTTTTATATATGTTGGAAGCCACCCAGAGTGGCTGGGGCAACCCAGTCAGATGGCTGGGGTATAGATAGTAAAATTGTTGTTGTTGTTCTCCTATTTTCATCAGTGAAATGTTGGAGGGTATGTATCAATGAGTGTTGAGCATGCCCGGTGTCCTCATGGAGCCATGGAATATTGACTGTCAGCAGAAAAAGAAAAATGTTCCCCTAGGAGAGGCTGGAAGGTGAACTCCTTACAACTTACAGTATCGCAGAGCTTGAAGGCCTGGCTAGCTGGCTGGCATCCAGAAGGGCAGAACTCCTGTTCTGGGGAAAAGATGCACTGCACTGCAACACCCTGTTGCAGATCCTAATGGTAAACAGTGGCAGAAGGGTCTGTCCCAGCATTAGGGTAGCCAGTGTGACTGAGCTCTTTCCAGCAGATGTTTGATTAGGAAATGTAATGCCATAGGCTTTTTTAAAAGAATAGCTTCCATAACTGTTACTGGTTTAGGGTGACCATTTATGCATCACCAAAAAAGAGAGAGCGCACATTTGCACAAAAATTGCAGGTGCTATTGCTATGCCACTATGTGTGTGTGTTTGTCTCTGTGTGTGTGTGTGTGTGTGTGTGCGCGCGCGCATTTCAAATACAATTCAAAATTGTTACGTCTTCTATTACTTTCAAAGATACAAACATTAGTGGATTTCCCTTCCTCTCCTTCCATGGCTCCTTTTATAATCCACTCCCTCCCACATCTTCTTAGTTTTCCAATCCTTTCTGTTCTGCTCTCCTTATCTCTTGTTCTTACTTACACCGCTGAAATTACTAACATCCTGCTAAGTTAATTGTCTGTTTATCATAGTTTTTCCATGTAATCTATATACTTATACAGTGGTACCTCGGGTTACAGATGCTTCAGGTTACAGACACTTCAGGTTACAGACTCCACTAACCCAGAAATAGTACCTCAGGTTAAGAACTTTGCTTCAGGATGAGAACAGAAATCGTGCAGTAGCATCGCAGCGGCAGCGGGAGGCCCCATTAACTAAAGTGGTACCTCAGATTAAGAACAGTTTCAGGTTAAGAACGGACCTCCGGAACGAATTAAGTTCTTAACCGGAGGTACCACTGTATATTATCCAGTCCTCCTTAAACCATTTTCCATCTTGATGTCTTAGTCTACTGCTAATTCCGCATATTCCAACATTTTAAGGTGCCACACTTCTTTCGTTGGTACTGCTTTAAAGTTCATTTTATATTACTTCTTAATAATCTTTAATTATGCTGCAAGACCACCACATGTAGAGGAATGACCCTTCAACTTCTTTACCCTTCCAACATTCCCAGTTCCGTATCTTTTTCATTGTTCCTTGTTCCAACAGAGGATGCATTCTTTTAAAGTGGAACACAGATATGACTACCCAATATTTGAGCTTGCCATTTGACTCTTTCTCTGTTTCCTATCTTAACTGCCTTGGAGGTTTTTTCCCCTTAGTGTCAAGTGGTATATACTTTTTTTAAAAAAAATAAAAATTACAAACTAAGGAGCTTGTGGTATATTGCATGGGAAGGGTTTCAGGCAGGACAGCAGAATATAAGGTAAAAGGTAAAGGACCCCTGGACGGTTAAGTCCAGTCAAAGTCAACTGTGGGGTTGCAGCGCTCATCTCGCTTTCAGGCCGAGGGAGCCGGCGTTTATCCACAGACAGCTTTCCAGGTCATGTGGCCAGTCATGTGGTTTAGTCATCTAAACTGGTTCTGGTGCAACGGAACACCTTGATGGAAACCAGAGTGCACAGAAACATTGTTTACCTTCCCGCCGCAGCAGTACCTATTTATCTATTTGCACTTGACGTGCTTTCAAACTGCTAGGTTGGCAGGAGCTGGGACAGAGCAACAGGAGCTCACTCCATCACAGGGATTCAAACCACTGACCTTCTGATCAGCAAGCCCAAGAGGCTCAGTGGTTTAGACCACAGCGCCCCCCGCATTCCACCACAGCAGGAAACAATCTAGGCAAGAAGCCCAGGATACTTCTATGTATCCTGTGGTTCCAATAGCAGAGAGATATGTGTAAAAGGAACCTCATATATCGTGGCATGTGATTAAACGAGTTAATGCCATATCTTGCTTTTTCAGTTTGGACGAATAAGACCCATTTAAGATGGAAAGTGAATATTGAAATATCAGCTTAGTGTGGCAATGCAGAAGCATTTCATCAGTTGAGTGTCTGCAGCAGTTTTATCCCCAGGCAAGGGATAAGTGATGGCTTCTTTAAAAGAAGATAAGACAAATTCATGGATGACACGGCTATCAATGGCTGCTAGCCATGATGGTTGTGTTCTGCTTTCACTGTTGGACACAGAAATGCTTCTGAATGCCCCTTGCTGGAAACCACAGGAAGAGCGAGTGCTCTTGTGTTCAAATCCTGCTTGCGGGTTTTCCTCAGTTACATATTGAACAGCAATTTGCAAAACTGCATGCATATATACCGTATTTTTCACTCCATAAGGCGCACCTGACCACAAGGCGCACCTACTTTTTAGGGGGATTCAAGAAAAAAATATTATTTAAAGGGAGCGCTGAGCAGAGCCTGCGTGCATCCCAGGCTCTGCTCAGCGCTCCCTTTCATGAGCTGCGTGGAGTGTGTGTGCGGCGCTTGCAGGCTTTTCCCCGAGGAGGGAGAAGGGAAAAGCCCCCAAGAGCCACACACACACTCCGCGTGGCTCTTTAAAGGGAGTGCGGCTCTTGGGGGCTTTTGCGAGAGGTGGGAGAAGTGAGAGAGCCTCGCTCTGTCCCTTCCCCCACCTCCTGCAAGAGCCGCGTGCTCTTTAAAGGGACCGTGGCTATCCCTGGCTTTTGCGGGAGGTGGGGGAAGGGACAGAGCCGCACTCTGTCCCTTCTCCCACCTCCCGCAAAAGCCAGGGATAGCCGCGTGAAGCCTTCCCAGGGCTTGCGGGGCTGGCGGTGGGGGAAGCCTGACTTTCCCCCACCGCCAGCTCCAAAGAGCAGGCCGGGGAGCAGCAGAAAGGCTGCGCGCAGCCTTCCCGCTGCTCCCAGAGCTTGTGGGGCTGGCAGGGGAAGCCCGGGTCCCCCCCCCCCCCGCCCCAGGAACCACACATTCGCTCCATAAGATGCACAGACATTTCCCCTTAGATTTTAAGAGGAAAAAAGTGTGTCTTATGGAGCGAAAAATACGGTATATATTTCTTTGTGACTCTACGTATATACGTTTGGATATTATTTTGAGTCTTAATACCAATTGCATTGGGACATCCAGTCCATATTATACTTTTGTTGTATACAGGGCTGCATTTGTTTTGATTAGATTCTGTTCTCTGCATTCCTTCCTTGTTGGATACTGAGCTTGTGGGTTTTCCTCAGGCATCCGGTTGGCCGCTGTGAAAACGGGATGCTGAATTAGGTAGTCCATTGGCTTTATCCAGCAAGCTGTTCTTATGAGGAAGGAATAATCAACTTTTGACCCTGACTGAGCACTACTGATTGGACAGCAGAAGCCATAATTATGCTTTTGACACAATCACATCTGGGCCATTTTGCAGCAAGCATCGGGCTGAACAGCTCAAATCAATGGCAACAGAGGAGGCCTGTTGTACAGATGTGCTGAACTCCCATCATCCTTGAGTCATTTTTTCTGGCTGGGACTGTTGGGAGTTGAAGTCCAATGCATCTGGAGGGTCACAGGTGTTCCACCCTGGCTTTAAGGCGCTCTACCATTCTTGTATCCCACATTCTCCCCATTTTTCTCCATGGGGGGAAAAATAAGAACATTCCCCATTCTAGGCAGCCAGCAGCATCCTAAATGCTTTTCTTCCCTAGTGAGGGGAAATCATATAAGGCTGTAACATCATCTTAGAATCCTCTTCCAGGGTTGTTGTCAGAGTCTTTTCCCCTACAGCAGAAGATGATTGATCCTCCAAGCACCCAAATGTGATGGAAATGAACCAAGTGACTTTTAATATATAGAGAGAGTTCGATATTTAATTGCACTTAGTTAAGCTCTGTTTACTTACCCAAAGCCTCATAGTAGTACAGAACCAGTGTATTTAGGGAAGAAGAGTTCAACAGCTGCTGGAGTGGCTCTGTGCCCAAGGAGATTTGACTCCACTCCTTTTGTTTACGAAAAGAGGGGGGAAACCATCTAAGTAGAGGAAGCTGCCTTTGAATATATTTCATATTGTCGCCTTCCACCTCTTGCGGAGCTGTGTTGATTGAAAATCTCACGTAACGTTAAGTGGGCGGTTGTCTGTCTGCATCGCAAAGCTACGGCTCGATGCGGCGCAATATGGAAACTTTGCGGCGTTTGCTCAAGGGACCTGCAGAACTGGAACACGACGGGGCACTGAAGATCAGGTGCAAGGATTGGCGGAGAGGGAATTCCACGTGCCACTTCTGCAAGTCCCATAGTGCAAGAAGCATCTATGTTAGCACATAATATTTAAAAGTAGAAATAACATTGCAGGCGTCTAGGTCTGTGTTCCCCACCCCCTGTGCAGAGTTTTGATTCTGTTCTACGCCTACCATATGCATGGGAAGGCACAAGGGATAGGCAGGTCGTAAACAATGCCATTTAAAACTGCATTGGTTGGTAAACAGATTGTTTTGCTTTAATTCTGGTTTCAACATAATCCTTTAAATAAGGATTTGCGCCGATTCCATTTCCACAATGAAGCTTTATTTCTACTGCCAATTTGCTCCCGGGTCAGGTTCAGTTCTGTGAATTTTGTTAATTCGCTAACGTCTTGGGCCCAAACTACCTTCAGCATCATCTGATCCTTTCTGCTCCACCTCAGTCTTTGAGATCCTCTGATGGGGCGATTTTTGTGGCTCCTCACACCTCTACTAGGGACTGAGTCTTCAGTGTGGCAGTAGAGAATCATCAGAAATCATCCTTGCCTGTTTTTAGATGTCTCCTCAAAATGGCCTTATCCAGACAGACCTTAGCAATGGAATTGTCTTCTTACCAAGCAGTATTTATTGATGTTCTCACCAAAGTTTTAATTTGTGCTTTTGCTCTTGTTGTAATTTTATCACTCCCGTTGTGATTTTGTGCAAGTGTGATTTATAAATATTTGAATGAATTGATGGGTGAAGTGGGGGTCATTGTCAGGACCCACTTCCCCTGGAACGCCATGCCCCTTGGTTTGGAGGGGGCTATATGGGGAGAAGGAGGTATTGTGAAATAATGGGTTGCACCTCTGATCAAGCAACCCTTTGGGTCAGAGTACTGCACAAGGGTATCTGAATGAGGTTTAGCTCTGACACAGAAGTATACAGAGTGGAGCTCCTCCTCCTAAGGAGCTTTGCTTTTGGCTGAATGTGTTTTTTTTCCTAAAAAGCATGCCCATTTGTTGGTAGGCTGCCAGTTGCCCGTTTTCTTCCTAAAGCAAAGGGAGATAGCTGGGGAATGTTTTGAATGGGCTGCAGAACCAAAGCTCTCCATGCAACTCCCCCTGAAAAGAGCTGTCAGCATCGTTTGGCTTCAAGGCGAAATCTCTCTCTCTTGCCCACACACCAATAGCTGCCGAGGGACTAAATCCCACTCCCAGTTAGCTAGGCATCTGCTTCTGAAGCTATGGAGTATTGTTACTGGTTGGAACCATAGTAACCCAAAGGGTGAAAGGGTCGAGATCCTTGGAAAGCACAGATTCTTCATTTCTCCCAATCTAGTTTCACTTCCCTTCCATACGGAGGCCATCTGTCCTCTAAAATCCAGTTCAGACCATGTGAATTGGGCATCGGTGGTTAAAAATATTTTGCATCATAAAATCACAAGGCTGTTTTTAAACGCTGCTCCCGATCCTCCCTCCCCACACATTTACACGCTCCAAATCAACCGTACTAACAAACCAAATGTAGGGTAATTGTATAAAATTAATTCTGACACAGGCACAGTTTTACAGATGTGACTTAGCATTACACACAAAAAACGCAGTAGCGGGTGTTTTTGGTTGTTGTTTTTTAGGCAATATTAATTTCAAGTGTATTGACTGGAGACCATCAAACTATAAATTAGCTGATCGAGGATAATTAAGGAGGTGACACACACCATAATGGAAGATTGTTGGCAGTTAATAGGCGGTTTCAATTATGAAGTTGAACTTTGCAGGGGAAGGGTAGGGGGCTTAATAGGCCATTAATTTTCAACCACATATGCATAATGGAGAGCATCCAAATCTCTCTCTGATCACTTGCTCTTATACCTACAATTGCACATTTATATGGACAAAACAGAAGGTTTCTTTTGTGGGGGAGAAGCCTTTTATGTTCTCCCAAGCAGGCCTGTTTGCTTGCTTTTCTCCTTCAGCAAAAAATAAAATAAAATAAATGTTTTGGGTGACCTTTAAATATTGTCTTAGATTTTATTTTGAAAATTCAGACCTTTGGAAAGGCGTTCTAGCCAATTATTTATGAAAATTCTATTTTATTGTAGAAAGGTAGTGAAAGGTAGAGGAGCCTGAAATCATGTGAGAGAAACATAAATGATGTACCGTGATAATGAAGCATGTTTATGCAAAGAGGTGTGTCTGTGTAATCTGTCATTACTTGAGCCGTTCACCGTTCTGCAAATGAACCAGTTGCTCAATAGATGTGATGATCTGAAGTGCTATCTGTTTATATATGTATATAGTTGGTTTGAAAACTAACATGTTTCCCTCCCCCCCCCCCCATAGAATTTGGGTAGCCCTTTTGCCATCACTCTCTGCAGTGCTGTCATTTAATATAATACTGCAAATGTGCAAATGATAGAGACATTGTGGCTAAAATCCTAGGAGTTTTTTCACCTCCCTGGCTGTCCCTTAATAGGCTCGGTGTCGCAAACGGACAGAGCTTCTGGGTTTTTTTGTTTTTTGTTTTTACCTGCATTTGATTAAACTAAGTTCTCTATTATCCATGCAATTACAAACATTCTCCTCTGAATCCCCGAGCGTGTTGTTAATTCGGCCAATACTGCATTTTCACCCATCGCTAGACAACGTTGCAGCATCTAAAATAGCAAAGTCTCTTATTTAGCGGCGTGAGGCTCTGCACCTCGGCTCCTGCCATCTTAATAAAGCAGGTCTTTTCCACTTAATGTGTGGTTTTGCCGTTATCTAGGACTGTAACTAACACCGCGGAAGAGGATCCACCGGGATCTTTGCAGCGCTGGTTCCTAATCATGTAATATTATTTCATGGTTTGTGCTGTCTGCTGCCCCAGCCCTATTCATTTTGGCCCTGGCAGGATTGTGCCCTTAATTGGAGGGAAATGCAGCTCTGCTCCTCGAGAGGCAAAAGGTACCATATTCTCCTCCCCATCACCACCACCCGCCTTCCTCTTCATCAGTGACCGGTCGTCAGAAGAGCCAAGCCAAAGAAAATCCCTATGTGGTCTGGCGATTCAAAAGTAGGAATATCAGGACTCCGAGGTCTACGGCTTTGTGTATTAGTACATATTGAGTCTTCGTTCCAGGTAGCAAACAGCTGCATCTTTTTTAAAAAATATATTTTTTTAAAAAAAAATCTGCAATGTGTTTACCCCCCCAAGAGACAAGTGTTCGATTTATTAGGCTCCGTCTCAGAACGTTATAGATTAGTAGTTGAGCGAGGTAGGGATTGTGAATATTGAATATATTTGTTTTGTATTTCCAATGGCCGGCCGAATAATGAAATTCCTTAACTACTTCTCTTTAACTTGGCTGAAGAAAGCTCGGTATGTTGCTAAATCTCTTTTCACCGGCACTGCCGAGAAACAACTTTAATCCTTGTTAGAAAATTGCCAAGTCTGAGGCTGACAAAGAGCTCATGCTTGTTCCATTGTTAGTGCTCCCGGGCCCTGAGAGTGGAGCCCTTTACAGCTGCGTGGATCCAGCCTGGCTCAGCTGTACTATTTAAGAGAGGAGGGTTTGTCAATTTCTATTGACAATGGAGA